TTGTTGAATTTCTTCGAAATCTGATAATAGTCTATTCAAAAATTGTCAACGCTTTACATGCTATGTATGTCAAGGACAGTTTTCAATTATTCAATTTAATTTAGAGGTTATATGATAACTTCTTTTAATAGAATTAATTTAGGCCTGTTAATCTGAAGCGAACAAGTTTATTTTATAAAAGTCTCATTTCCGATCTTATTAAAATTGTTGTATAGAAGTTTTCTACATTTTTTTTATATGTATCGGAGACACCGATATCATCAATTTGCACCATTCCAATTTTCAATCAGACGCTCTTGCTTGTATGGTACCATACCTTGATGCTGCCCCAGATGGACATGGGATTTGATACTGTCTTGGTGTATGCTAACCTTGTTTCCTCCAGATGGTCAAGAAATTTGATACTGTCTTGGTGTATGCTAACCTTGTTTCCTCCAGATGGTCAAGAAATTTGATACTGTCTTGGTGTATGCTAACCTTGTTTCTCCAGATGGTCACGAGATTTGATACTGACTTGGTGTGTGCTACCCATGTTTCTCCAGATGGTCATGAGATTTGATACTGTCTTGGTGTATGCTAACCTTGTTTCCTCCAGATGGACGTGAGATTTGATACTGTCTTGGTGTATGCTAACCTTGTTTCTCCAGATGGTCATGAGATTTGATACTGTCTTGGTGTATGCTAACCTTGTTTCTCCAGATGGTCATGAGATTTGATACTGTCTTGGTGTATGCTAACCTTGTTTCCTCCAGATGGACATGAGATTTGATACTGTCTTGGTGTATGCTAACCTTGTTTCCTACAGATGGTCATGAGATTTGATACTGTCTTGGTGTATGCTACCCTTGTTTCTCCAGATGGACATGGGATTTGATACTGTCTTGGTGTATGCTAACCTTGTTTCGCCAGATGGTCATGAGATCTGATACTGTATTGGTGTATGCTAACCTTGTTTCTCCAGATGGTCACGAGATTTGATACTGTCTTGGTGTATGCTAACCTTGTTTCTCCAGATGGTCATGAGATTTGATACTGTCTTGGTGTATGCTAACCTTGTTTCTCCAGATTGTCATGAGATTTGATACTGTCTTGGTGAATGATATCCTTGTTTCTCCAGATGGTCATGAGATTTGATGCTGTCTTGGTGTATGCTACCGATGTTTCTCCAGATGGTCATGAGATTTGATACTGTCTTGGTGTATGCTAACCTTGTTTCTCCAGATGGTCATGAGATTTGATACTGTCTTGGTGTATGCTACCCTTGTTTCTCCAGATGGACATGGGATTTGATACTGTCTTGGTGTATGCTAACCTTGTTTCGCCAGATGGTCATGAGATCTGATACTGTATTGGTGTATGCTAACCTTGTTTCTCCAGATGGTCACGAGATTTGATACTGTCTTGGTGTATGCTAACCTTGTTTCTCCAGATGGTCATGAGATTTGATACTGTCTTGGTGTATGCTAACCTTGTTTCTCCAGATTGTCATGAGATTTGATACTGTCTTGGTGAATGATATCCTTGTTTCTCCAGATGGTCATGAGATTTGATGCTGTCTTGGTGTATGCTACCGATGTTTCTCCAGATGGTCATGAGATTTGATACTGTCTTGGTGTATGCTAACCTTGTTTCTCCAGATGGTCATGAGATCTGATACTGTCTTGGTGTATGCTAACCTTGTTTCTCGAGATAGACATGAGATTTGATACTGTCTTGGTGTATGCTAACCTTGTTTCTCCAGATGGTCATGAGATTTGATACTGTCTTGGTGTATGCTAACCTTGTTTCTCCAGATGGTCATGAGATTTGATACTGTCTTGGTGTATGCTAACCTTGTTTCTCCAGATGGTCATGAGATTTGATACTGTCTTGGTGAATGCTACCCTTGTTTCTCCAGATGGTCATGGGATTTGATATTGTCTTGGTGTATGCTACCCTTGTTTCTCCAGATGGTCATGAGATTTGATACTGTCTTGGTGTATGCTAACCTTGTTTCCTCCAGATGGACATGGGATTTGATACTGTCTTGGTGCATGCTAACCTTGTTTCTCCAGACGGTCATGAGATTTGATACTGTCTTGGTGTATGCTAACCTTGTTTCTCCAGATGGTCATGAGATTTGATACTGTTTTGGTTTATGCTAACCTTGTTTCCTCCAGATGGTCATGAGATTTGATACTGTCTTGGTGTATGCTACCCTTGTTTCCTCCAGATGGACATGAGATTTGACACTGTCTTGGTGTATGCTAACCTTGTTTCCTCCAGATGGACATGGGATTTGATACTGTCTTGGTGTATGCTAACCTTATTTCTCCAGATGGTCATGAGATTTGATACTGTCTTGGTGTATGCTTACCTTGTTTCTCCAGATGGTCATGAGATTTGATACTGTCTTAGTGTATGCTAACCTTGTTTCTCCAGATGGTCATGAGATTTGATACTGTCTTGGTGTATGCTACCCTTGTTTCTCCAGATGGTCATGAGATTTGATACTGTCTTGGTGTATGCTAACCTTGTTTCTCCAGATGGTCATGAGATTTGATACTGTCTTGGTGAATGCTATCCTTGTTTCTCCAGATGGTCATGAGATTTGATACTGTCTTGGTGTATGCTACCCTTGTTTCCTGTGATGTGTTTATACTATCTTTGTTTTCAGATGAACATTTGTTACTGTTTTATTTAAAGAATGTTTATTTTCGGATTACATAATATGTTTAACAAGTCTGAACAGGGTCTGAATATATTTTGATTTAAATTTACATAATGTTATGTTTAACAATACACCTATGTTATGTTTGTAAGAATTTTAAACAGTATAGGGGCTAAAGTTCAAGACTTGTCAAGGGAACTGCATACACCACTCTTTCTGTCTTTGAACGCAAGTTTTCAAGGAAAATATAACAGAATAAATATAGGGATTTCAAGTTCAAATAATCCATAAAAGTCATACATGGCTTGTTAGCTAATATTTTTTTTTATTATTTTTACATAACTGCACCAACAAGTGTTGAGCATTGTATTATAGTGCACTAATCCGATTTAAATGCAAATTGTTGCATTTCGTGTCAAAACATGAGGTAACTACGTGCACAGTCAAAATCTACCCAATAGCATTTCGTGTTCCCTTGGGCAGGTAATACATGTAAATATTTACAATGAATACCTCAAAATCCATCACATATAGTAAGATGGGAGTTATTGAAGAGTATTATTGAAGAGAGCAGACTATTTTTGCACTACGTAAATGGAAAATACCATCCAGTATATTATGAGATAAATTTTGACACTTGCCCCATATTGGCATTGGGCGAAACGTTAATTTGTTTTTCACCCTACCTCAGGCCCTACTTCTTCATTTTTGAAAAAGAATTTTATACATCATCATCATGCTCTTCTTCCCTTCTTTGCTTTCTTCAAGGTTTGTGGAATAAAAGGATTTAGGTATTGCAAATTGATCATGTTTAAGTGTGACACCGATAATGAATTCATATTTTGAAGGCTAAATATTTGTAGTTAATACGATACTCATAAAATAATCGCATTGAGTGTCTTTATTTACAAGTATATACACCTTTATTTACATTATAATACAAATTTTAAAGGGGCAGTTGCGCCATTTTGTGGGGCTGATTTGAGTCTTGAAAATATGTAAATAGTCTTCAGAAGTACTAAAAATATACGAAAATCGCATAATTCCTTCAAGAATATCTCAAACTAGGATGTTTACTCACTATTTCTATATATGTCTTTTCTATATATCACAGAGTATCTTATCTTTACGAGTCGTCATTTTAACATTCAAACGCTGATAATTCTGGACACACATAGATTTGAAGGCTCAAATTTCGACAGTGAGCTGTGAACACTATTACTGATTAGCTTAGCTGAGACTAAAGTATTATTGGTCAAAAAGAATGGCACATCTGTGCTTTTAACACAAGGTGTGATATAATATATTTACAATGAATATTATGTGCGATTGGAAATATTAGCCTGAAATTCCATTTCACTGAAAACAATATTTACATTATTGTACATATAGACAAATTGAAATATTAAAACAGAACCTGAAACATGTTGCTCCTGAAGAGTTTCACGCTGTGAAAGTCACTGAAAAACCAAACAACTTTTTAAACAATATTTTTAGAACACAATTATGAGATCAAATATTATGATAACATAGAGGTAATTGTGTAGATGTTTTCCAAATAATTGATAAAAGAAATTTTAGACAATCCATGATATTTGACAAAAATCCAATAATATTAAGAATCCAAGCCAAACTTTAATGTCAGAAAAGGCATCATGAAAAGCATTAAGTTACTGTGTGTAAATGACAAGTCTATTCTGATTATGAATAACCATCTAATACATGAATTAAGAATACAAACTAATGAATTCATTAAATTCACTCAAAAATAAACTCCAATACTTTCAAAATGTGTCATTTTTGTGTCCAAAAATTATGATTTAGTTCATGCATAGACATCAAGCAAAAAAAAAACTCAGCTATTAGACAAAAAAATGACCAAATGTTAAGTGCAAGACAGATTGTCTTCTTATATAAATAATGTAGAATTGTCAAAATATAGATTTTAACTAATGCCTGAAATTTATAATGATTAAGATGCTGTCAATATAATTCCATTATATTTAACTCTGCAATCAAAGTGTTTTTTAATGCTGTCTCAAAGCTTACACTGCATTCAAATTGTATTATGCCATCAATATATTTTAAGCTGAAACTGAAAAGTCTTTTATATTGCCAAACTGCCATTGTCTTATATTGCCATTATATTTTAAACTGTATTGTCAGTAGCATTTGAAAATCGGCTTTCCTCCAAAACAATTGAACCATTTTTAAAATGATGTTCTATTGCATCTTAATGATTGCAAAATCGAATAGGTGAATTTAAACAAATGGAAAGCTCTGATTGAACAGTTCCCTGCCATTTGCTATTAGATCAACGGCTCATTTGGTCACTATCCAGATAGTGATGTTATTCGTGTAAGAGAACCACTCCAAAATATGTTCTGTCTTTAGTGATATCTATAATGACATCATGGAATACATTTTGAATCTCTAATTTATCACCCTTCTTCAACCTTGTTACACCTGTAATAATAAAAGCTTATTAAAATATATATTATGTTTAACAGCCAAGGCCCAGTTTAAAAAGAAAACTGCTGAGCTTTATCATTAAGAATACAGTATCAGTTTTGAAAATTGAACCTCCTTTTTAAAAGAGTGAGAGGGTTAAAGGGTTCGACCAATGTCCTATAGATAAGATTTTGTTCAAACAACAATATATGTAAATGTAAGGAGTATTTCGTGTTCTTTACTTTATTTCGTTACATTTTTTTCAAAATTAGGCCCATTTTCAAATTTTATTCCACGGTCTTGCATTCAAATCTTCATGATGGCTAGACATCATTGCACACAAAGCGATGTGATTTGTTGTTGTTACCTGATACTGAGCAAGTTTTATGTCGCCTGTTTAACGTTGGTTCTTGGTTTTTAACAAAATCTATACCATCTAAACACCGGAACTTGGTTTCGCCATTAATTTGTACTGTTTGAGCTAACAGAAGCTTAGAGTCAAAGTAGTGAGTCTGTAACAAAACAAATCAAACTTAACCCACTGATCCAATCAGCATTTGCTAAATTTTCTATTAAGTGTCTCACTTTATTGTTAAGAATTTCACATGACATTTTGACTGACTGCTTCCGCTCCCTCCGCAAACTTCTGAACCACTAAAATTTTACCTAGGATTCAACTATTGTTTTAAAGAAAAAAGCTTCGGATTTGAATAAGGGCAATGATATCACTCTTCTTTTGGGTTTGTCAACTCAATTTAAATTTTGCTTATATCATTCAATTTTCTTTGCTTGAGGTATTTTTTGTCAATTCTTTGGGCACTATTTATGAAATTGATACACGTGGATATTGGAATGAATTAACTTACACTTACAGTACTGTAGATTAGGTAGATTCCTGTTTTCTGGACTATGAAAGTACCCTTCTCATTAAGCTGCATTAATGGACCATGTTTTTCTTGATACCAGCTGGCTGGGTGCAGGAAGTCGTATCTTGAATCTGTCGATGGAAATTTTAGTAGACCATTGAGTTTGTCATCTGAAAATTGTGTATCATTTTTCATGCATCCAGGATTGGATTAAGCAAACGAAATTAATGAGATACAGCGCTTTTATTAGCTACATATTTCAGTAGCTGAAATTTAATTTGAGCCATCTATGCCACCTTTCAGAATTAAAGTCTGATGTCCTGTTTTCTTTCGAAATCCTTAACAAATTGAAAGTTTTGTTTGCAACAACGTGTGACTACGTGAGCGATTTTTTTGCATACAGACACATTGTATCACAGCAGCTTCAAACTGGTTTTGTAAATTGTAGCACAACAGTACGTCGTATATTAATTCTGAAAAGTATTACGGATAGCTGAAAATTGTGTCTATCATCTGGTAAAGCTAATATTTTAACCTCTATTTCTCTAATATTGAAGTCTAGTTAACTCTTTGTACTTAGTTTGATATGTTGCTACGACGTGATTTATGGGTATTTTAAACAGAATGAAAATATTTGCCTCATAAATTTGATTACCACTTACTCTTTGGCATTATGATAGTTCGATTTCGACAAACTGTTTTCCCTGACAACTCTATGCATTTTGTACCTGAATCATAATGAAAACAAGTGATAATTTTTATCATGCCAAAACAGGTGAAGTGGTAAATGTTAACCTAAGATAACCTACTATTATCATCTTGATTGATTATTTCCTTACGCTGATTGTGAAAGATAACAGTACTCAGATCTTGATCTGATTTTGGAGAATACTTAAAGGGCGGATACACGAGCAGTCTCAGTCGGAGATTTTTTTCGCCGACTAAGTCTTGTCAAGAGTTTCGCCGACTGGCACGGGCACACGATGAGACAAAAAATCTCCACCATGTCGATAATCACATGCGGAGCATGCATATGAAAGGAAAATGAATCTGATTAGATGATGACCCTCTGTCATGCAGGCGATAAAACTAACAGAGATATTATAAATCCTGTCGGCGACACGATAATCTTGTCGTGAAAGCATGGGCACATGCGAGATTTTACTCAGACTGTAGTCGGCGACAAAAATCTCCGGCCAAGACCGCTTGTGTGCCCTCACCAAAATGTTATTTTGTTTGGTTTATCGAACAATGAAAAAAATTAATGAAAGCGCTGTTTAAAATAAGCAGTGTTAGGTCATATGGACACCCATGTTTGTTTTGAACATACGATCAATGGACATCGCAAATGCATCGCAGTATCCTGATATGTCATAACATGTGGAAAAAATGAGCAATGTATGTTTTACTTTGGCTATGTTTAGATCATTAGATGCATTCATAACATACGACTAATAAACACTGTTGAGAAATACTTGCAGTATCAGTATTTGCTTAAGAAGTTTTTATAAAGGGGTCCAAGTGTATCGAGTCTTAGGGGGAGATAACCTCAACTCTGTCTTCATTTTTCCGCTTTCCTCAATTAAGCAATTTGAGACAAACCATTCAATAGAAATTCACAAAACGCTACAAAATCTTTGCTAATTTAACATAATTTAGAAGGACTAGAAGTTTACCAACCGAAATATATTTTTATAGTTTATTTAAAACATACTGTATCTTGTAACTGTTATATACTTGCATTATTGCATGCTTATTATGTAAATAACATACCTTCTCCGAATTCTTTCTTTTCGCTGTTTTCAAAGTTTGAGGCATAGTGAGCTGTCATTAGTGGTTCCTTTAAAACAAAAGAGATATGTTAATAGCATTGAATTTTGGGCTTTTTTGAGTTTTTGAAGTTAGGGATGTGATATCTTGGCGAATATTGTGACTAGAGACTTCTGCTATGATCATTCATTTTATCCTTGAATTATAGAGGATTATTATTGCACCACCTCATTGAGTTTGCCTGCTTGTGGACAAGACTTATGGATTGTTGACTTATGATTGTTGACTTATGGATTGTTTAATTATGGATTGTTTAATTATGGATTGTTAACTTATGGGTTGTTAACTTATGGGTTGTTAATTTATGGATTGTTGACTTATGATTGTTGACTTATGATTGTTGACCTATGGATTGTTGACTAATGATTGTTGACTTATGGATTGTTTAATTATGGATTGTTGACTTATGGATTGTTTAATTATGGATTGTTGACTTTTGGATTGTTGACTTATGATTGTTGACTTATGATTGTTGACTTATGGATTGTTGACTAATGATTGTTGACTTATGGATTCTTGACCTATGGATTGTTTACTTGTGATTGTTGACTTATGGGTTGTTAATTTATGGATTGTTGACTTATGATTGTTGACTTATCGATTGTTGACCTATGGATTGTTGACTTATCGATTGTTGACTTTTGTCAGTTACAGTTTTAGCTATGTATTTTCATGTACTATGTACTGCCAAAAACAGTGACATGGCAACTCACAGATTTAAAGATTTTTTAATGTCAAATTAAGCAAACTATTTGATTAATTGGTGTTTCTAATGAATTATGTATTCTTAATCATTTCATTATGTTCTTATTGCATATAATTAAGAGTTTTAACTTATAATAAATGTCCATGTATGTACAGTCTGGATAAACAAAAAAAAGATTTTTTGACCTTTCTTGATCGGTCACTCATTGGCATTCTGCTGGTAATTCTTTTCTAATTTAGCTAATTATGAATTAATTACGGACATGTGAGACAAACAGGTACTTTTCCAAGTCATTAGAACACCTCTACTTTCTATTCATATAAGTATAAGCATTTTCATTTTCATAAGTGAAAATAAGGGAACCCATCTTTTAAGTCTGAAATGTTTTTTAACTTAGAATACTTACCGCTGGGTCTCCTTTTGGTCCTGAAAGGTAAAAAAGAAAATTGTTTGTGACCCTATGACCTTGTGCATAGCAGTAATTCATTAAGCTATCAACGGGATTGTAAAGGGGTTTTCTAAACTGTTTATGTATATCGGGGACACTAATAGCATCCATTTGCATCGTTCCAATTTTCAATCAGACGTCTGTAGTTCTTGCAGTTACACTTAAAGCGTTTGATGACGTCTTTAATTGCAATATAATAAATGCTGTAACGACTTTGTGATTAGTGACGTCATAAACCGTTTAGCTTTTGTGGAATTGCGGGAACTACAGGTAGCCGATTGAATAATAATTTCATTTTTTTGCCATCCTAAGAGTAAGTATACCTTTGCCGTATTGTTCTAGATTAAGACTGAAAAGTCATAATCAGTGAACTAAAACAGTGCCAGAAGCTACAGAACACAATTTTCATATCTTTATTCAATATTAACCCTAGTCAGTCCCATCTTGTTTTGATGGAATTGTGCTTTTTTGCTGGTATTTATTTGTAATGGCTCTTTTTTGTTGCTGGAAGTAGTAAGTTTATACAAACCTGGAGGTCCAGCTGCACCTTGTTTTCCACGTTTACCTTGTTTTCCACGTTTACCTTCAAAAAATGTTATAAAACGGGTGAAACCGAATGAATTGTGTTTTAAAAATGAGCTAAAGTGGGTCTAAGTTGTTTTTTTAAGTCAGTGTTGTTGTTTTTTTTTCATCAATGCTAGGAAGGAGCGAAATTTGTCGTATGAAATGTATGAACTTTAAAAACAGTACAGTTATTTCACTATTGATTTCTAACTGCAGTAAACCATGTAAATTATAAATTACCAGGCACCCCAACTTTAAATTTTACTTACATTTGCATCTTCTTTTCTTATTTACTTTTCCATTTCTATTTTTATTTCTTGGGCCATTGGGCGCCCGTTCATATCTATTGATTTCATCGAAATCGTCTGCAACTGACACCTGTGAAGAAAAAATTGCACCTTGTTCTAATTTTTCTTTCAGCCACATATTTGAGACGCACGGGAAATGTTTTCAGAGAACGTCATCAGATTCAAATACCAACTTATACAGACGTATGGAAATTATGTTCGTAACACTATTAGCAAAAACACACGTTCCCTTTCGGACTCAACATGAGTTAAGCTCAAAGATGTCGAACTGGAAAAACAGATCTGTTGTGTTGAAAAGATCGTGTTAGTATGGAGACACGCCATTTTCGGTGCTAACACCCTACCTGGTATGATTATTATTATTATTAAGACACTTATAGAGCACCATCTTTCACAATATGTGCTCAGATGCGCTGTACAATACAATTCATAGAATATCAACATATTGGTAAAATTGGCAATTAAGTATAAAAATATAAATGAATAAACGTAGAAAAAATATGTATAAATATAAGGAATAAAACAATCTATAAATTAAAAGCTTTCTTAAATAAAAACGTCTTGAGAAGAGACTTAAAAGTTTCTAAAGAAGTGCAGCATCTAATGTTAAAAGGTAAAACATTCCAAAGTGTATTGCCAGTATTGGGGACAATGATAGCATCAATTTGTCCCGTTCCAGTTTTCTATCAGATGTCTGTGGTTCCTACAATTCCCCTAAAACTATGCGTTTTATGACGTCACTAATCACTAGTTCTTATGTAATAAGCATATTTTGCTATTAGTGAAGTGATCAAACGCTTAGTTTTAGTGGAATTGCAGGAATCACAGACGTCAGATTAAAAACTGGAATGGGACAAATTGATGCTACCAGTGTCCTCGATACACATACAATTTTTCGAAAACCTGTTTACAATTTCTTTAAAGCTTGAGTGCTTAATGTGTATGAATGTCATGAAGCTTCGTATTCATAATCAAGAAGAAAAATAAAGAAGTTAATTATATGCTGTTGAATTATTAAATCCCCTTCGTGGGCTTACTAGAAAATGAATGCTCGTGGCAGGGCGAAACTTGTTTTAATTCAGACTGAGCTTGTTCTTCTGTTTTCCAAATATATAACTTCGAATTTCCGTTTGTATTCGCCGATCATGAATTCGGTTAACTATTGCATCCAGGCTTTGTCATTTATTTCCTTCTCGCATGATTCAAGAGTTCTGTTGGACATGCCTACCTCCTCGATTTTTTCAGCTGACGAATTTTTGACGTGTTGGATTAGTTCAAGTGATTTTTCTCTTGTCGTTTCAAAATTAAACCTTTACAATATTTGATAGAAGCTGATATATGAAAGGGCAAAATTTCAGACTTGGCAATTACTAAATACTAAATATTACTAAATGCTTCTGTAACTAAATACTAATGTTTAATAAATAAGATATTATATTATAATGTTGGCCATAAAAACCTCAAATATGTGTGGTTTACGTGATATGTTAATGTTGTTGGTAACCGGAAATAATTATTGAGGACACTTAATTAGATATATTTAGCGATCCCTGTCAACAACAACAAAACCAAGCGTGCTTTGGGGAAACGTTTTGCACATTTGGACATCCAGATATTGATGCGAACATCCATCCGATTTTACACCCATCCATTCGATAATAGCAAATTCTCTCACTCGACTCTTACTTTCACTTTCCATTTCTGTTGCAAAAATGGTTGACAGCAAAAGGCACCTTGAAAGTGATCGAACCTTACACCGTAACATGAAAAAGTTAGACTTACCGGTTCTAGTGTGTTATCAAGGTTCCTGGAAGAGTCTGTCAGTTTAATATTATCATTCCACGAAGGTTCGGATTGAACAGTGTTATTGTTTATAAATAAAAGTAAAGTAAACATACATATTAGACACACGACACACGATATCACAGAAATTACCGTTAAAAACTTAACGCTGGTGTGACAGTTACATTTACATTTGCCATCAGTCCGCATCAAAATGTTCGAGTCATGTCCACTAGTGTCGTCCATTCTGCAAATAGCATGCTCAGATGACAGATCCATGACGAAGCTTATAATAATACAACTCGACAGATAAACAGTTTATAGGCCAGGTGGTAAGGACTGCCTGTATTCGATACGCGGAAATAGCTCGTTCTTATTGAAGGTACCCAATTGCACTTCGTAGAAACTATAACTCCAGAGGTAGGCTTGCATCGACTTTTTATAGGCAATTTTCTTTTACTTCTAGGAAAGTCTCAATTACTCAAATTGATATTGGAATTTCGGATTTTATTTCTTTTGGGGAAAAAGACCAAATTCCCGCTTACTTTCCGTGTGTGAAACAAGAAATGACTCGCTCTCTTAAGATAATTGAAGGAACACTTGCTTCTGAATATTTCCGGAGATTGAAACCATGGTGATAAGGAGATGGGTTTTGATTTTAATTTTTGGCTAAATGACCTTGACTTCAGAGTACAGGTGTGTGTCGTCTGCTTTTTTAAACAGTTACCTTTACGCAAATTATCTTGTGACCTAGATATTCGAGCCTAACTAGTGCAGATATCCCAGCTCTATCTATGTGGTTACACATTAAACGTATTTGATAAGTGATCTAGAATCGCTTAAGATTTACCCCCCTTGGGCATGTGAAAGCTAAACGTAAATAATACTCATAGGAACGACAAGAAATGCCATGATAGCTTGAAGTAATCGAGAAATTTCCCTTTGACATGAAAATAAAAGCCTTAACATTTTGACCATGACCAAATTTATCAATATCCAGAGTTTAAAGTACAATTTTAATCAAATCAAACTAGTCCCTTAGGATTTGTCCCCCTTTTTGCAATCACATCATTTCACCAACGTTGAGATATTGTATTACAAATATAACATAACTTATTACCAATTAACATCACTTATAACCAATTAACATCACTTATAACCAATTAAGATGTTATAACATAACTTATAACCAATTAAGATGTTTTAATACAAATATGACATCATATTAAACCAAAATTGACAATTCTTTTATAAATATAAACTTCATAGATATAACCAACATAGGGATATTTTATTACACATATAACACCACCCATAACCAACATAGGGATATTCTATATATTTATATAGTATAGCACCTGTATAATATAGAACATCTTTAATAATCAACATTGATATGTTTTCTTCCAAATATATAACAATTTTAATACCATTATCAATATCAATATCACATAGAGATATTTAAATATTAATCACTTGTAGCACACTGGTCATGTTTATTGCTCCATCAGAACCAGACGATGACTAATACGTTGCAGCGCCTATCTTTCAGATTCAAGATAGTCTACCTAATTGATTTTAGGAATTCAATAGTGGAATGCAGTTATTATTGCACCTGTGGTTTTTTCTCTAAGCTTTCTCTGAGATTTATTTCACTTAGATTTCTGGAGTGTCGCCCTTTAAAACATGTGGTGAGAAATAGTCACTCATTGAATCATACCGGGTAATCAACTTCCGTTCTGATTTAAAGGCTGGATAAAATCTAGAATAAAATTTTCAAAACTAAGATTTGCCTAAACATTCTTTAAAAATGATCCAAATTAGAAACGGACGAAGATACGTATAAATTCTCTCATCATATTAGTCACTTGGTTAAAATTATATTTTCTATTTTAAAATTCCATTCATTAGGAAAACAACACCGACTTCCTCTTCTAATGAATTGCACGTCAGTTTTGTTTTAAAGGTCATGGTTCGGCATTGTCTGGGTTTGATTTGGGCCTTGAATATCATGTAAATACCCAGAAATGCACGAAAATCGCATAATCCCTTCACTTTTTATATATATATATATATCACAAGTTCATCCCAATTCTGAAAAGTTGGGGTATTGGAAAGTTAATAAGGCCAATAAGAAAAAAAACAATGACGTCGCTGTACGGTAATATTTGATTTATCAAGTCTTAAGCGTTTTTCAAAATGGTGGCTCTGACAATGACGACTCATTGCAATAACTTTCAAACATGGATAATTATGGATACCCGTTGTTAGGAAGGTTAATGGCTAAAATTTCGTCGGTAAAATGTGAACACTATTATTGATCAGTTTAGCGGATCAATTGTCGTTTTTGAGACCAAGGTACCTGTGCATTTAAGGAATACAAAAAAAGAGAAACGTCGTGTGGCTTTATCAATAAAAACGTAAACTAGAGTATTGAATACAATATGCCATCCTAAATATATAAGGTCTCTGTTCAGCACATCAGATCAAGGGATACACAGCTTCAAAATAACAACATTTGATTTTGAAGTTTTTAATAACAATGTAAGATCATTCTAGATTTTCTTTTAACATTGTGTTCTATAAACTTCATTTTCTTACAATTTTTTTTTTTTTTTGAAAAAAAGGTCAAAATTCAAATACAACAAATAAGTCTACTTCCAAACGTTGTCTTCATAAAAATTAAAATTCAAAATATTGCTGTAAAGTCTTTTTCATCTATTTTTTTCGTTCGTGTCATTAACCTTTTCTATTATCACTATAATATCTGAATTTGAAATTTCCAATCCATGTAAACTTCATAGAACGTTAGGTTATAGATTACCAGTTAACATCCCACACTGATAACAGTATAAATAACCAGATAGCAACAGCTATTCTATATCAATAAACGTGGAATAATCACACAATAAAACTCGTCTACAGATAAGAATGATCGCATCTGAAATTTAAATACATGCATTGAAATGAAACGATATACAGAGAGGTTATATTCTGTTTTAATTACGATTATTGTGTGGTCAAGCCCGCACCTACAAAAATCTATTACTATTTCACGCTATTAAAAACTGTGTGTAATACCTTGACTGCAATACCCACCTTTCTTTTATCATAGAGGTTTGTAAAGCAGCGATTCGGTTGGGATGTACGCTAGCGAAACATTATGGCAGTTTCTATCGAGGGCTGCCATTAACTGTATTTGCTAACGTACAATCCAACTCCCCCCCCCCCCCCCACTCTTAAAGGTATTTCTGAGCCAATTCCGTCTTTCATAGGTCTTACCATGCGTAATTTTCGGCACTCCAATTTGGAAATTGGACATAATACACACCGTTTAATGGTTTTAAAGGTGATATCTTGCATAGTGGTGTTTCAGTTGAGATAAGGTATGCTATCGCACCGCTTCCTAACAATATAGTCACTGATAACATTGCCTGGATATCAAACACTAAAAATACTATACATACAAGTAATGTAATAGTGACATACACAACTGGGCACAGTAGAGGAGCCTAAAAATAAAAGTAATGTTAATGCCATACAATTGATTATTTTATTACTTACTGTCAAATCACAAGACTTTACTAACTGTCAAATCACAAGATTTTACTTACTGTCAAATCACAAGACTTTACTTACTGTCAAATCACAAGACTTTACTTACTGTCAAATCACAAGACTTTACTTACTGTCAAATCACAAGACTTTACTTACTGTCAAATCACAAGATTTTACTTACTGTCAAAACACCATATTTTACTTACTGTCAAAACACCATATTTTACTTACTGTCAAAACACCATATTTTACTTACTGTCAAAACATAACATTTTACTTACTGTCAAAAACAATAGTTACTTACTGTCAAATCACTACATCTTACTTACTGTCAAAACACAACATTTAACTTACTGTCAAAACACAACATTTTACTTACTGTCAAAAAACAAAACACAACATTTTACTTACTGTCAAAAAACAATAGTTACTTACTGTCAAAACACAACATTTCACTGTCTAAAAATAGTATTTACTTACTGTCAAATAAGCATATTTTACTTACTGTCAAAATACCTTATTTTACTTACTGTCAAAATACACCTTTTTACTTACTGTCAAAATACACCTTTTTACTTACTGTCAAAACACTACATTTTACTTACTGTCAATTCACAATATTTTGCTTACTGTCAAAACACAAAATCTTATTACTGTCTAAACACAACATTTAACTTACTGTCAAAAAACAATATTTACTTACTGTCAAATAAGCATATTTTACTTACTGTCAAAATACCTTATTTTACTTACTGTCAAAACACACCTTTTAACTTACTGTCAAATCACTACATTTTACTTACTGTCAATTCACAATATTTTGCTTACTGTCAAAACACAAAATCTTACTTACTGTCAAAAAACAATATTTACTTACTGTCAAAAAACAATATTTTACTTACTGTCAAATCACTATATTTTCAAATCATGTTACCATGCATGCAATAAACTTACTTTTAAAGTTGTTGAAGAATCTGGATATTGTTTTCGAATGCGTTTTAAAGATAAAATACTGAGGAAAGTTCCCAGTATTTTGAGGAAGGTGTAGGTACTTAAAATAGATCGTATGTTTACAAATATAATTACTAAACTAGCAGTCACCATCTGAAACACAAATATCATGTCTTTGTGTTATAATGACTACATGGGAGCATATAACCACAATTTTTTTTGATATTCGTGGTCGCACACAATATGAGATCCAAACAGGCATAACATTGATGAAATATTTTTGTAAGGAACTGTTCGATGATGTTAAATGGATTATAAAGAGGTTTTCTATATTTTTTTTGTAGTGAGAACACGTCTGAATGGAATGGTGCAAATCGATATTATCAGTTTTTCCAATACACACAAAGAGTTCAGAAAATCTCTTTACAATCCCTTTACTTTGATAAATTTAATAAGGAAACATTTTAATCAATTTTATCCGTATATAAATATATTCTTACCAATAGTAATATTGAAACTAAAGGCGTTCTGGATTTAAAATTAACCATACTTAACCATCTTGGGAATAAGTTGTCTCTTCCGGCTACAAAATTCAACCTAGAATGACAATATTTCAAAAGATATGTCCATACTAGCCTAACTTTATCGAGAAATGGGTTACGGGGCTCGTGAGGTTCGGACTTGTATCTGTTAGTATATTTTTCTGTCTCGGTTCAGCTAAATTTTGGAACCACACAAGTTTACGCTACGCCTATAGGTAAGAGTATTATTAACGCGGCCCTGTACGTCAATGCCATATACTTGTGCATCTGCCAAAAGCTACTAACTTGGGGAGAGAGCGATATTAAATCTATAGAAAGGTATAACACACAATGCTTCATTCTAAGAATAAAGCTTCACAAAAAATAATTTCAGAAATTTGGCAAAAAAAAATCACCTGCTACTTTGAAAGACGTTGAAATTGGCAGAAACAGCGGCAAACAGTCCAATGGTTGGTAATATTACCCATTGAAAAAAGCCTAGTTTATGTTGAGCGAAAACCTAAAAAAAACAGGAGAAACATGAAAGAATTAACCCAAAATTGATATAAATTGTTTAAGAATTCGCAAAAGGATGTCAACGTTTTGAACGAAAATACAGATTGTACACGCAAACGTGAAGGTTAAAGATTTGATTCCGGTATAGGTCCAGTTGTAATGTGTTAACCTTCGAATCTTCGGCATCTTAAACTCTATATATCATTTCAAAAAGTTGGCTAATTTTGTCAACCTACTGGCCTATACATACAGATCAAAATATACAAAATATACAACAAAGCATACAGGTCGAAATATACAAAATATATAACTATACATACGTATGCAACTGCAACATCTGAAGTGATCTGAGAGTTGGTAAGAACAGCGTGATATGCTATGATTGTTGATACATAAGCTATTATAGTTAACAACACACCAAGTATAATAGATATTGGTATTGTACTGAAATATAAATACCCTCTATAATAGAGCTTAAAATTAAATATCCTTGATATAGAGCTCAAACATAAATATCCCCTATATAGAGCTTAAATATAAATATCCTCTAAATAGAGCTTAAATGTAAATATCCTCTGACTAGAGCTGAAAAATCATACGTATCCTCCATACAACTATATAAATAATATCTTGATATTGGTCTAGTCCTTTTTCCAAAAAAAACTTCGATGCTGAGCTTAAACAAAATTCTTCTGGATATAGTGCTTAAAACATAAATATCCTCTATATCTAGTTTAAATATTGGCATCCTCGATCTAAATTAGCATATAAATATCCTTGATATAGAGTTCCTTTATACAAGATAAATATCATTGCAAATTTTAAAGAAACATACCGTTTTGATCTTTTGATTTCTTCGGCGCCAAACGACAACATTTCACTGAAAAGGGGATGGAAAGGCTTAATCGTGGATAATTTCACAAAGTATTTTTAAAATGAAAAAATATGAGAAGGCTTCGTTTCGGGGACGTTTGTATATTGTGAAAGATTCAACATTGTAAATTGAGTTCGAGGTGAAAGCTTAAATTTACTAGCTCTCACTTCCTAGTAATTTTTTGGTTTTGTTTTTATGGTTAAGTGCTCTGCAACATTCAGCATTACAGGAACTCTCGAGTGTCCTGTTGCCGAATGCAACGTCCCCTAAAATATCACAATAGCTGGTTTGAGCTAAAAGAGAACCATGTCTGTCACGAACGAGAGCAGACCTATATCTTATTTGTGCGAACGACGTTTTTCACTGTCCACGTGTATCACTGACGGGCTCTCGGCCTTTGAGATTTGAAACCCTAGACCTTCTGGTGGACGAGTAAGCATCAAGCTCACTCAGCCACCGCAATAGGACCTACCCAAATGAATACAATTTACTGAAAATACTTACAATCCGCCATAAGCAAAATATGAAGCATAAAATGCTTTAGACAAACCAAGCACTGTGACATTTTCTGTGTTGAATGCGTTTTGAAAGTTGTCATTATGCCCTGCAAAAATACAGAGTTGTAACTTTCGTCTTTATGATCTATTGTATGCTATCGCCATAGACTCTCATAACCAGCTAGCAAGCAGATAGTAACCCTACTTTGAGAAGTGAGATCATGTTGGACTGAGACAACCCAAGATTTTCAGAGCTGTTTAAAGGGACAGATGGGCCATTTTTTGAGCAATCTGGCTAGGTGAGATAAGCTGTCAAATCGTAACTGACCTTGACCTAAATGTATTAAACCGGCAACAATAATGATTACTAATACACCAATTTTACTAATAGTACTAATTGTTTGGTAGTAACTACCCAGTTTTACACTATAACCATTCAGACACACTACAAATACTGAAAAATAAATAGGTTAAGAATGCAGCGATTCGATTTGAGTGTAGCTAGAAAACACGGCCAGTCTATTCTTGACCATGTGCGCGTATAGTAAGGAGTGTTTAAAGGTAAGCAAATATACCTACCCAAAATAACCAATGTTAACAATGTTTTGGCCGAGTGATGGATATCTTCTGAACAAGAAACTGCTGTCATAATATATTCAGCAGACGCCATGCAACCAATAGCTGCAGACATTGGTCTCGTCAACAGATTCATCCAAGCATATAGAAAACCAAACAAATTACCAAACGATTCTTTGATATATGTATAGTCGCCTCCGGATTTACCTATTCGGGAACCTAAAATTGAAATGAAATATAACTAAAAACACCAAAAAGTGGAATGAGCGTTGCCTTTTCAGGGACAAAAATAAAGTGTGTATGTTTCTTTTGAGCTGGGTGTTTTCTTTTGTATCAGAACCCAAAATATACCAGACCTTTAGCTTCAAGCGAACTATTGACTTTTATTTCTGGATTTGCCCGTTCATAGGGAACTTGAGACTTCCAGTAAATGAATGGAAACGCATTTTCGAGGACCAACTATAAAATCGCTTCATTTAAAATCTTCCGTCATACAAAAAAAGATGTCTATTGCCGTCAAGGTATAAGACACAGTTCGTACTAGTTTAACATTTAATCGGTCTTGGGATTTGACCAACATTTTGCGAATAAGAAATTTAGATCTACTAACCTAATTCTGCGTAACAAATCGCACCACATAAGGATGTGAATCCACTGAACACCCACATACATAGTGTTAATCCAATGGAGTTTCCACATCCTTGAAGAACTGCTCCTGGAAATATATATATACCAGAGCCTATAACCGTTCCAACTATATAGCTTATACCACCGATCAGACCAATTTCACGTTTTAATGTTAGACTTGATGTGGCCATACTGACTGATTAAATGCCATATCATATTGAAAATATTATTATATATATCTTTTTTAAAAGATAAAGCAATAATAGTAATATATTAAAGTATTCAGAAAGCATTAATTTGATATCTAAATTATATTATAAAAAAGTAATAAAGGTCGCTTTTAGAATTAATATAATCGCCTACGATCTACGTGTGATAGTCCGATGACCTTGAATAAGTCATCATCACTCATAAATCCAGTCGACCCTGTAAACGGGTATGGATAATCCGGGAAAGATCAATGCCAAGAGGTTTGGCTGGTAAAAATGGTCCTTAACTGTGAACCGAAGTTGTTATCTTTATAGACCTTTCTTTCTTTTCAAATTTGCTTTACCAGCTGATATGGTCCGAGACATATTTATTTACCTCGAATCCACCTGATGCTTGGGCATTACCGCTACTTTCGTTTTGTTAGAATCACGTGACCCTGTGACCTTCCATTCTTTGGTTGTCGGCGAGGGATTCGTTTTGTTAAAATAATAAATGGTGTAGGGGATAATGATGGTATGATGAAAATAAAGGGTTTGATAGGTTCGGAACCCCTTAAAACAGAGCCTAGTTTTTCTGACCTTACTCCCACTGACAACTTTCACAATAGCTGAAAGCTGGAATATGGGCAGATGTTTCGGACTACAACTGGTGGAGCTCAATTTCAACGACGAAAATTAAGTATATCAGTTTGTAAAGCAAATATTTAGTTAATATCTGTAGCAAACAGTCGCATTAATGTCTTCTTAAGAATGATGATATAGCCTACAATTTCCAGATTAACCGCATTACTCTTTCAGTTTCCATCTATAATCTTTAAACTAGTGTTTGTGTATGGACACTTATAGCTTATATTTTTCTATCATTCAATTACGTTCATGCACTGACTGCCCAAAACTTGTGCATTTAGGTCTACGTGCCCATGTCATGCAAAACGTAACAATTTAAATTATTTTTTTGGTTGCGTTGCGTTGGTTGGTAACCAAAGAGTTCTTGAATGCCGGTGATGTTAACCCCCTTTGACTATCTCTGACAACCCCCCTCCTTTCCTCTCTTCTTTTGTGCATTGATTGCAGGCAGTTGACATTTTGTAAGTTGTAAGTGTATTTATGACTGGTAATGACACACTCTATGATTTGCTGATTTAGTTATATCACCCCGAAAGCAATAAACTTCTATTATTATTTAGATTCTATTTCGTTCATTAATGGTATTTTCGATTCTTAGTCAAACCCTTGTCGGGAGTTATCTTCCTTTATTCATTATAGATGGCGCTACGGTGAATTGGATGCTTTACACAACACGTGCAAATTGTTTACAAACTGAAAATGAAATAACTGCATAAAACTTAAACATATTGACAACAATAATTATTTGATGTGTAGGTAAGACATCTCTCCATTGTAATTTACTTTCTGATCTCATCCAAAACATGAATTTTTGCCACTTTGTCTTCTCTTTCAGCCAATCCAATCGTCAATGATGATGGCCCCTTTCATTATTGGATTGAATTTCATATATTACTGTTGGTCATTCCAACTCAAAATCATCAATGATATCTGTTACAATTCGACCTAAATAAATAAAAATAAACATTCTGCAAAGCTGAAACATTTGAGCAACGGTGAAATTTCTTTCTCTTTCTGTAGAACTGGTGTAATGGCTGCAGAGGAATGTAATCCTCAATCACAGTGTGAACAAGATAATCAGTTTTTTAAGAGTATTCTGGATTTAATACCACCGATTGTATATTTTAATACTGACACCAAACAGAAAATAATTGATGAGTCTGAGGCATTTGAAAGTGAAGGTAAGTTATTGTCCTGTAGAGATTAAAAGTCTAGAACAAACATGTTTTGAGGTGACAGTGTTCATGCTCAAAGGTCTACCTCAAATATTGGACTTTTATTCAAACAGTTATCCTGATGAGGATATCGAATCAAAAATGTGTAAAGAGTCTACAGCTCGAGGTTATCCGACAATATATTAGACATATATAAATTGCTAGTTTAGGTCATGGTGGGTATGGAACAAGCAGGCTGACCAATTCACCAAATTTTAGTGGTTGAAGATGCATAGTTCTATAAGACATTTTAATTCTAAAGAGATCATATTATCATGAGTTGAGTGTAAACTGAATATTTCTTTTAAAGGTAAAACTAAAAGAAATAGAAAGAAGGGTCCTAGTGGTGATGTATTTCAAACTAAAACAGTCTCACAAATACAGGAAACATTAGACAAACTAGAAAAAGGTAAAGTACCGTACCAAATATATTTACAAGAAGATTCCAATTTACTTTGCCTTGTATGATTTGGTGTGTTGGTTATTTAAGGATATTTGCTTATAAGTAGTAGTGTCTGCAAGTTCACTAATTTAACCTTTATTAGTGGGTTAAACTTATAAATTATAGATTTGTTCCTCTTCACTAGAAAAGTCCAAAAGGAGTTATCTCTTGGCTCAAATTGATAGGAGAGTTAATTTTATTATTATTTGCCAATTGTTTGCAATTGCTCTCCTTTGCAACTCTTAATGTTCATCTTTTAATTCTTTGATATGTTTCTATTATTTGGCTTTCGGAAAGGTAATTTAACATTAATATTGCATTTCTTATTAATTTTAGATGGTGGAAAACGAAAGACCAAGAAACGGAAAGCTGAAAAAAATCAGCAGGAATTCCAAAATTCAATTTCCAATATAGGAATGTTACAGAAAAGGTTACATGAAAAGTTGGATACAATGAAAGGTGGGTGCTGCTCAGTTCAAAGAGTTTTGCAAGGAATCTCAAAAAAATTGTGCTTCATGTTTTTGAGTCGGAACACAGCGACCATTTGAAATGGTGCTGGGTATTGGCAATCATGTTATGATACAAAAGATATATCATAATTTCTGTTACTATGATAACATTTCATGCAGTGGGTTGGTTTTAAGCCTATTTTATATGGGAATACATGTTCACCAATATTATGCTAGGACATTCACAGCTCAATCAGAAAGTTAACGTAGTTAATTATTGGCTTGAAAGAATGTCTTTTCAGTTTACATTTCTTTTGAAACTGTTTTATGCCAGTGGTCACCCTGATTTTTTGTTATAGAAGCTATTGTGTATATTATTATTCTTTTATATTTTTAGGTAATCGTAAGTCTATTACACCAGAAGAGAGAAAAGCAAGAAGACAAATTAAACAACAAGAAAAGAAGTTACGGAGAAAAATGAAAAATAATGTAAAAAAGACATTAGGAAATGTTCAGCCACATGGTGGGGTGCGAATAGGTTCACCAACACAAACTGCCAAACCTGTTTATGACAAAGAAGGCAAAATTGTCTTCAGTAAATTTGATTTCTCACAAACTAACAAAAAACAAAAATCGAAAACGGGGCTTGTGGGGAAAGATTATAAAAAACTTTTAGAAAAACTGGAACGAAAGAAAAGTGAATTTGAGAAATTGCGTGAAAAGGATGCCAAGGCAGCTAATGAATTGGAGGCGAAAGATAAATGGAATACAGCCATGAGTAAGGCTGAAGGTGAAAAAGTTAAAGACAATCCACAATTACTTAAAAATGCTATTAAAAGGAAAGAGAAAAACAAGGAAAAACACAAAAAGAAGTGGGATGATAGGCAAAAGACTGTAGAAGTTAAAAAGCAAGCTAAACAAGACAAACGTGAGCGTAATTTAGACAAACGAAAACAAGGCAAGAAAGACAAAAAGAAAAAGAAAATGATTAAGAAGGGAAGAATTATTCCTGGCTTTTAATAAAATTGTAAATATGAAAAAATAAAATTAAATTGCACTCTTACTGGGCTTTAATTACTTTATGCAGAAAGATCTGATTGTCTGACCGTCCAAACTTGCTTATGGATTCAATGGGGATTGTAAAGATGTTTTTATGTGTATCGGGAACACTGACTGCATCAATTTCCACCATTCCCAAGTTTCAATTAACCCTCTATGGTTCCTGCAATTCCACTTAAATTAAATTTTTGATGACTAATTGCAAAATATACTTTATATAAGGCCCTTTGCTATTAGTGACATAACAAAAAAACCACTTAGTTTTGGTGGAATTGTAAGAACCACAGACGTCTGATTGAAAATAGGAATGGTCCCCGATACATGAAGTATCGCCCTTGACTTTAATGAGAGAATTGGTTTGATTGGATTTTGATGAAACTTGTATTAATTTGAGCCTCCAAATCCATGTGCGTCCAGAATTATCCGTGTTTGAGACACTGCCATATATATAGAAAATACATCTATAGAATTGAAATATTTCTAAAGGAATTATTTGTTTTTCGTACATATTTCTAGTACCTCAAATAACCCTTCCAACCAAAATGGCGCATCTGTCCCATTAAGAGAACTAATTCTTCCAAGCATGCAGTCTGACAGGCATACAAAACGATGACATAAAACACAATTTTTCACCAAATACACATTTATTTAGTTCATTAATATCAATATATTAAAGTTGAAGAATTTTCATACACCACGAGGAAATATAACTTAGATAGTCCTGTCTAATTAGTAAGTACAAGGTAAATGGGCAATATTTTTTAGGAATAACATAATAATAATCAATGAAAATGTGTACTAATAACTAATATAAGGCTAATATTTGAAGAAAATCTGTCGTGTAACTTTGCAAGATTTCTTCTATAAAAATTGAGTATTTAATAGAGAAGATTGGCCTCCAAAATTCCATTCCACCTTAAAGATGGGTTCCCTTATTTTCATTTATGAAAATAGAAATTTTAATTCTTATATGAATAAAAGGTAGAGGTGTTCTAATGACTTGGAAAAATACCTGTTTGTTTCACATGTTCATAACTATTTCATAATTAGCTCAATTAGAAGAGAATTACCCACAGAATTCCAATGAGTGACCGATCAAGAAAGGTCAAAAAGTATTTTTTTTTGTGTATCCAGACTGTACATACATGGATATTTATGCTTCGTTAAAACTCTTAATTATATGCAATAATAACATAAAGATATGATTAAGAATACATGATAATTCATTAGAAACACCAACTTATCAAATAGTTTGCTTAATTTGACCCTAAAAAAAACAAGGAAACCAATCTTTAATGATTCAATATAATACATTTCTATACAATCATTCAAACTGTAAATTATACAAACACTTAACACAGTAGACGTATGTAATTTGATATTTCCAATTGGAGATCATCTACTTACGCTTACTCACTAACAATCTAATTAAAATTTTGTTTTGTTATTTTTTTGGGGTTGGACTCTATGTTAATCTTAAAAGAGTTATTCAAACACCGAGTACCATTGGTGTTCATTTTAACCAATCACAGTACATCATGCAGAATCCGAGTCCAACCCAAATACAAAAACAACAAACGAAATTGTTAGCTAATTCTAATTGCTACAAAACAAACAAAATATTGCTCAACAGTTTTTCTACAGAGGTCACATTAATAGATAGCTATCTTCTGCTCCGTCAACTGCACAATGTCAAGCTTCGAACTTCGTCTTATACCTTGACTGCAATAGCCACCTTTCTTGTATCTTGGAATGCAGCTAATTATTAGGATAGTAAAATCAGAGCCCTTGACAAAGAGACTGTAACCATGGCTTATTTTTCAACAGACTTTCTGTTGAGAACTCTGATTGGCTGTATTCACTTACTTATAATCCAACCAAAATGCTGCATTAACAAAATGCTGTGATCCAAGGAAGCTTGCTGTTGCAGTCAAGCTATAAGATGCAGTACGTAATGGCTCGACATTGTGAGATGCTGCTCCATGTGCAACACAATTACTGATTATTCATGTCAAGACATTTGTTAGTAAAGTAGAGTTATCAGTTGGAAGTATCTTGAATATTTTTGACTCAAACATGGTTTAATCAGGGTCCATATTTGTTCCCATTCCATATCCGTTAGTCATTAAAAACAATTTCAATTGACAGGAAAAAATTCATACCAACTTTGCATTACTTTCAGTGATAACGCATTTAGATGACTAAAGGTTAGTTTTTTTTTTAGGTCGTCTAAAGGCGACCAGTTAACTTAACCTGCCTTAACTTGCACCCAATTCGGAGGTAGCTTCAAACCTGGCTTGAATAGTTAAGCCAGCTTAGTTTAGTCGTCTGAATGCTACTAGCTAACATTAAACTGGATATGTCATGTCTTCGTGTGGGCATTCGTCTTAACAAATTCCCGCCATTAATACCAAAGTCATTGGTAATGTTTTTATGACCTCTGAACTTCCCGATAACTTCTGAGGTAAAGTCAAAGCCGGTATATTTTTTATGTTCGTCTGAACGCACACCAAAAAACAGAAAACCAGAACGAAGAACGGCTGATAGTTAAGCTGCATTAATTTGAGTTGTCTAAAAACACTATTAGCGCACTAATTAGTTGAAATCAGTTTTGAATTTCATCTGTTTCTACTTAAGCCCTGAATTGTTAACAAGTAAGATAATTATGCAAAGATATGTTAGATATTTGTTTATCATGTTTTCTAATTGGCTTTTGAAAGTCACTAAAGTATCAACTAATCAAATTCTGTTATAAGATTTACCAAAAGTATGGAATTCCAGTATATTCATAGTTTAATAATGACGCATGATATTAGCTTACTTTTAACCAGTTTTTGATTGGTTTGTATAATTATGTTTTAATGCTATTGGACAAACCCATCTGAACACAATATAACGAGGTATGTCATCAGATTATGAATGACAAGTGAATGTAAAACAAAGCATAAATATCTTGGGCATGTTTCACAAAACTTAACTCTGATTGGTCAATCAATGAAAATCAATTTTGAATTTATATTCATTAGCCAATCAGATAACTTTATTTTTAATTTTAAACAAATTATACTATTGCTGATATCTTGAGAAATTTAATTGTTAAACATATAAGGAATGGTAGATATACATAATTATATATGTTTTCACATGGAAATTGTTTATTTTTGTTTCTCTCACCAAATGTTGAATATGGTCATTATTTGTTGTCAAGCCGTTAAAATACTAAATTCTAGTGGGTTCACATGGTAAAATGTCTGGTATAGTCATATTCTATAGTTGGTATCACAGCCTGTACAAACTTTAAAAATATCATTAAATACCTACAGATGGGTTAAGGATAATATCTTGAAATGAGTTTATACTTAGAGCATTAACAGGGTTAACAGGGCTTTGTTCAGGCTAATCTTGCTCATGAAAATCATTAAGGATATGCAGCCTAATGTTATCCATTGCACATTGTATGGCCTTGCCAGTCTTCATTAGTTTATTAGAAATGACTCTCATTTGTTATCTATTGTACATACTCTCATGGGAATAGTATATTTTGCTTAATTTCAAAATAAAAATGGAAAATAGATTTGAGCCCCCTGGTATTTTCTTAGAGGCCTCTTGGATCATTTCTTCTGCTTTTTCCCAAAGCATTCATATATTGCGTAATACACAAAGTAGTGTTGGGTATCGCTGATCAAGCGATACGATACACATCGTGATACAAGGGTGACGTGATACAAGGGTGACGTATCGCGATATTGGGTAATGAGATAAAAATTAACACTATATCTTCAAAGTTCCAATATATATCAATTTATAAATTAGTGTGATATTTGGTAATATAGTTGATAGGAGAGGTTAACGTCCATTATCTTATAAATAGTTACCAATAAATTCAGTCAAGTTAGTATGATAATTTTTTTTGTAATGAGAGATATCGTCAAGTATCGATACACAACCTAGTGATAAGATACACGTATCGTGGCGTGTTGTATCCCGATACATCAAGTCACAGAAGAGTATATATTATTAATATTAATTAAAGGATACATATGAACTCCTAATTCTCCACCACCATCAGCTACAGTTTGAATTATTTTTTTCATCACATCAGCATGCCTGAAACAATGAAATATAAAATTTTATTTATTTCATTGAACCTTTGTATTAAAGTGGACCATTTTGAATCACAGTACAGGATCATTCCTGGTCCAAAATTATGATACAGTTATGTATCATTAATATAAGACCACAAAAATTGATTTGTCTTGTTGATCATGATCATGTTTACTTTATAATTTGCAAAACTTGGTATGATTACTTACTTGCAGGGATGTACAGATGCTAGAGGGGGACCTGGTAGATGAGGATGTGCTTCCATGGTTACTGTTTTCTTGGCATGATCCTGACTAAAATCTTCGTATAATTCATCTACAGTTAAAGGTTTTCTATTCTGGAAACAAAGAACACAAAACAAATTCAGAAGCTTGGGTCAAAATCCTGAATGTAACGTACTCAAATTCGAACTCAGCCTTCAGTTCTTGCCTATATAGTTGTGTACCTAGCTTAATTCTTCCGAGAAACATTAGGCCTGCTGTTCACGTTCACAAAAGCCAAGCATTGGAGAGAGCAGAAATTTGATTGGCTAGTGGTATTATCAAGCTGACAAATGTTCAAGAGGCCTGTCTTTAGACCCAAACTTAAGTGGCTAAATAAAAAATAAACGTTTGGTCGGCAATCATTTAATATTTAACACTTACCTCATCATAACCAAATAACCATAATCTAGGTGTTTGGTAATATTTATCATAAGTTATATTTAAATCATATGTTCTAGTTTGTAGTATACCACTCTCACTACTACCAGCTCCTTCTGTTTCACTAGCTATTGTTTCTGTTTTTAATGTGGCCTACAATATTATCATTTTTTACATAGTCTTTGAAAGTTTCAAATGTTTCAGCCATGATGGCAAAATAATTTGGGACTGTTGCTTATCTTAACCTTAGCAGATGCTTCAATCAGCCCAAAAATTATACATATACAATGTTATCATCAAAATTTTTCAGCTTTCAGTGCTAGAATTAAGGGTATACAGTTAGACTGGGTAAAATGATCGAAATAATCGATCATCGTTGCTAGAAATTTATAATTTCCATTGTCGATTGTCAAATTTCATAATCGATTATACGTCAAAGTTACATTTTCTCCACTGTACCCGTTAACAAGTAGTTTCCCTTCAGCACATACCCACAATAAACTATAATGACTGATCAAAACAAGAATATACTTCTATGACAAAGAAATTAAGAATTGTGGTATGTTTTTAATTTAGTATTTACAGGAGGTATCAATTAAAATATTTGGCAGGTATAGCTCCATTATAATATGTACGATGCAATTCACTCTTCTAGAATGCGGTTACCACTCTGCAATTTGGTATATCATGCCAGAGTCTGAATATTTGTTTATTTGATACATTTATCTCATCTGGCACTTATGTTTAAAAAGATTAAATGTCAGAAAGAAACAATACCTCATCTTCATCTTCTAACATTCCACCTTGTTCAAACGCTTCCATATCTTCTGCCTCAGCATCATCATCATCATCTTCATTATCATCATCATTATCATCTTTCTTTTTACTCTTCAAACAGGGTACAAAATAGAGATCAATATGAAAACACAGAAATCCTTGTACATGATTAGGTTTGTATTTCATTAAATATATTTACAAATATAAATACAAAATAATTTAATTAAAGCAGTGGAAATACATGTAATTTCATTGAAATTATTTGGAATTAAAAATGAAATATGTTTGTATTAAAAATGAAATATGTTTGTATTAAAAATGAAATATGTTTGTATTAAAAATGAAATATGTTTGTATTAAAAAAGGAAAAGTATTGAAATTTATAAAGAAATAAGTTTGTAATTTAATATTTAAAAAAGTTTGTAAATTACAATGGGATATGTTTAATTTAAAAACGAGCCAGACAATACCTTATTATCTAATGTCATTTCAGCTATTTCTTGTGAAGCTGCTGTTGTAGAATCAGCTATAATAGAGTAGAACAACCAATATTTTATGACTACCTATTGCAACAAAATAATGTTATGGAGGCGAGGAGACATTAGAAATTTTGCTTGCTACACTTTCTGACTTTAACTAATACAGCTCTTAGTTATGCAATCTAACTCAGTTTAAGAAATCTGCAGCCTGTCATATTTGTTGCAAAATTAAGATGACTTTTATAGTACCGGTAGTTAGAAATTGTCACATTAAGATTTAAAATTTAAAATGGACTAAGTAGAGTTTTCCTTTCATTCTTTTTATTCCCTAAAACTTGTCCAAAACAGACTGTCGCTCTTCCAAACATCCATCAAGCAGGGCTGTTGATTTGGTTCTATTTGCCGGTCATGACTGACAGGGCTGCTCAAATGGCTGACGATCAATATCCTCTATCGGACATCAAGTATAGGTTATGACATTCAATGTCTGTCAATTACAAAATTTAATGAAAACTCTCTAAAGAAATACAAAGCCATCAATCACTGCTTGGCATTACAATAACTTGATTAACAACCTGATAATCTGATAATCCATTAATGGTCTTATAAGTGTTTAATTAATCATCCAATCAATTGTCTATTAACGGTACTTCTTTTGTTTACATTTTGAAATGGAACATAGATTGCTTATCTAAGCAAGATAATACTGATTTATATTTCATTAAAACATTGCCAATTCTTTTAAAATTACCTACTTGAAGTATGTTTTGCAAGATGCTAGCCAATTTACTGATCTAAGAATTACACTTATCTTCGCCCCATATTCCCCCCACAGATACTGATATGATTATACGAAATACTTTTGTTTCTTACCAGCAAAATGATGAGTATCAACCCAACCACCATCATCATCTTCTTCTTCTATAACTTTCTCTTGTTCTTCTTGATGAGTATCCATCTGTTTAACCCTTTTATAGCAAGGTACTGAAAATATTCAGACTAACTTAGTTACAAAATATTTTCACTATTTAAATGGTGCTCAAGAAAAAAAGTGACAACTAATTAGATTTTTCAGGAAAGCCCATGAGGTGGTTTATTTTGCAGTCACCTTCAATTTTAAATAAATTTTAACTCTACATGTCTGGGTTAAAATATTAAAAGATTCATCAGAAATAAATCTGTTTATCTACCATTTCTAGTGATCAGGAATTGTTTATCAGGAGGTAAATACGGTCGGATTTTAATATCTTCACCAGTAGCCCACTGCCATGTTGGACAATGATGAACTATATGATCTCCTGCTACCACAAACTAAATAAAATACACATCAACAATATAACATTTTAAACAATATTCATACTAAGCACATGTTGATATATGATGTCTGTATTGCAAAAGGCTATTTAGATTATAAGCAGATGTTGTGATAGTGATGTCATAAAATTGTTAGTTCTAGTGGAATTGCAACAACCACAAAGATGTCTGAATTAAAATTGGAATGGTGTCCTATATATATATAGGCTACAAATAACAATTTAAGAAAAACCATTTTAAATCAACACCAATGACAAAAATATTACATACCTCTTCAGGTGTAATAACACCTGTTTCTTTAAACTTAGATTCCTACAATAAAAGTAACACACAAACAATAACAGTAAGCTATAACTAATGATAACTGGTGATAACTAAAGTTAATGAACAATATCACCTGCGCTATGGGCTGAATGTTAGACATGCCAATGTCATTTGGGTGTATGGACCTAATTGAAATTCAGGCCCATATAAACTTATTTCATAATAGGTTTATTATTAGTTTTGTTGTAGCTGATATCATCAGTATGCCCACTTATTTCAAGTACAGGACAATGGATGATTTGAAAATGATTATCATAGTATGACTAATTCAAATTATTCACAATGGAATCGGTATAGTCTGCAAGCTTTTAAAATTGTTAGGTTTGAAATTGCTACATGACATACTTTTGGCAACCAATATCATCTTGAACATTTGACATTGTAATGTTGGATAAGGCTTGTTCACATAACCGTTCAAAGGAACCTGAGTTAGTTTCGAAACGTATTCACTTGTGAAATAATAGAAAATGAATGAAAATGAAGTCAGAAAAGTATTCTATCTATGGGTTTGATTACCGTCAAAACCGGTGTAAGATATTCTGCTACTCCTCTCGCGGTTCCCTTGACAGCATTTATCATATTCTGCATGATGAATACTTTTCGGTGGTTTGGCAAAGCCAAGAATTGCAAATAGGCCAAAGAACTACAAAAAATCACGAGATTGATGTTATTATTTTTTTTATCTCCTCCCACTAAGGACTGTTTGTAAACTTTTTTCGAGAAGAGTTCCAGTAAAGGGAATTTACTCTTCAGTTTTGTCAACACAGGGTTGGCCTAAAATCATAATGTACCATAAGTGAAAGACTATCTAAAAAAACTACAGGCCAGTCAGACTTTCGAAAGTGATTCGCTTGTGTGTTTAATCATTTTAAGAGAAAACTCTACACATAGTCTACTAGAACTTTAGTCGTGATTATTAGCAAGGAAATCAATATGGTGACTTTTGTTTAAATTTCAGTTCCTCTCAAAGAGTTTAAAACATTACTTTCACATCATTGCACGAATTTTATTGCATTTAACAGTTGAGACATGCATTTCACATCTGTCAAGGGATGTAACCTATTGTAAGTTTGTAATGTCACGATCTCTTCAAGGGATATAACTCATTGTAAGTTTGTAATAATCACGATCTCTTCAAGGGGTGTAACTCATTGTAAGTTTGTAATAATCACGATCTCTTCAAGGGGTGTAACTCATTGTATGTTTGTAATGATCACGATCTCTTCAAGGGATATAACTCATTGTTAGTTTGTAATGATCACGATCTCTTCAAGGGATGTAACTCATTGTAAGTTTGTTATGATCACGATCTCTTCAAGGGGTGTAACTCATTGTAAATTTGTAATGATCACGATCTCTTCAAGGGATATAACTCATTGTTAGTTTGTAATGATCACGATCTCTTCAAAGGATGTAACTCATTGTAAGTTTGTAATGATCACAATCTCTTCAAAGGATGTAACTCATTGTATGTTTGTAATGATCACAATCTCTTCAAAGGATGTAACTCATTGTATGTTTGTAATGATCACGGTCTCTTCAAGGGATATAACTCATTGTTAGTTTGTAATGATCACAATGTCTTCAAAGGATGTAACTCATTGTATGTTTGTAATGATCACAATCTCTTCAAAGGATGTAACTCATTGTAAGTTTGTAATGATCACGATCTCTTCAAAGGATGTAACTCATTGTAAGTTTGTAATGATCACAATCTCTTCAAAGGATGTAACTCATTGTATGTTTGTAATGATCACGATCTCTTCAAAGGATGTAACTCATTGTAAGTTTGTAATGATCACAATCTCTTCAAAGGATGTAACTCATTGTATGTTTGTAATGATCACAATCTCTTCAAAGGATGTAACTCATTGTAAGTTTGTAATGATCACAATCTCTTCAAAGGATGTAACTCATTGTAATTTTGTAATGATCACGATCTCTTCAAGGATGTAACTCATTGTAATTTTGTAATGATCACGATCTCTTCAAAGGATGTAACTCATTGTAATTTTGTAATGATCACGATCTCTTCAAAGGATGTAACTCATTGTAAGTTTGTAATGATCACGATCTCTTCAAAGGATGTAACTCATTGTATGTTTGTAATGATCACGATCTCTTCAAAGGATGTAACTCATTGTATGTTTGTAATGATCACGATCTCTTCAAAGGATGTAACTCATTGTATGTTTGTAATGATCACGATCTCTTCAAGGGATATAACTCATTGTTAGTTTGTAATGATCACGATCTCTTCAAAGGATGTAACTCATTGTAAGTTTGTAATGATCACAATCTCTTCAAAGGATGTAACTCATTGTATGTTTGTAATGATCGCGGTCTCTTCAAGGGATATAACTCATTGTTAGTTTGTAATGATCACGATTTCTTCAAAGGATGTAACTCATTGTAAGTTTGTAATGATCACATCTCTTCAAAGGATGTAAAGCGAAAACTGATCGACTACCAACAACTGTGAGCGGGCTATAGCCCGGGTGGTAAGATGCTGATCGCCAAGGCGAACGGAATGATCCAATTATTGTTAGAAAGTATATATCTCATACATGAATAGAACACAATCATTTAGCGCTAACTGAGATTCATGCAGCACTCGTACTTTGATTTAAACTTCGGCTTAAGTCGGACTTTGTAAAGTAAAGTCGGGCTTAATCCTAACTTTTTTTGGTATGCACAGCTTCTTCTATAGCCGATCTTAACAAAGTATTGGTTTTGTACCAAAAGTATGGTAGACCGGTGTTGCAATTTATACTGTTTTTCCGGTTTGCATCATAGTCATAGATTAAAGAAGCATCTTTACTATCCGTTTGACCAATCATACCTTAGTTTCAGAAACAAGAAATTTTTTAGCTTGCATAATCAGTAATAGTGTTCACAGCTCATCGTCGTCAAATCCACCTGTACCATTATTATTCACGTTTGAAAAGTAAAAATTCGACTTGAATTTTTGTGAGCACATTCATGACCCAGATCAGTCCCCGAAAATGCCGACTTTTCCCCTTTAAGTCATTCTTTCACAGCTACAAAATAACATTATGAAGGATAAATTATACGGAAGATCTCAACGTGGTTGTATCTTGTCTACTATCTACGACACCTGTTATTCCAAATCAATACCTATCCTGAATTAATTTGGTATCATTTTTGATATCAACATTCCAATGAATTAAAGCTATCTGTAATAGTTTTGTAAAAAGCTGTAGATGGAAACCTATTAAACACGATAATTGATTTAAATAATCAATAAAGAGGCGCAGATCTGTTGGTGAAGTAGTCCCTTTCCCTCCAGTCCACGAAGCCGCGGTAAGCGAAGCCATTCGCCTGCGGAAGCCGAGGACTCCGCAGTAGAGTTAAGGTACTCTCCAAGAAATTTTTAAATGAGATCGCTGCAAAGGTGTTCCGCAAAACCCGATTTACGTATTTGCACACAGCAGCTACGAATGGCCGGAGAAGTCTTGAGTGTCGCTCAAGTTCCGTAACCGTGTTTGAGTGCATAGTTATGCATTTTGATAATCATACCACATAGTTCAGCCACATTAAGTGGCGGGAACTAACCATATTGTGTCCGCACCACTGAACATAGTCTTGTGCATGTATCGGGGACACTGATAGCATTAATTTGCACCATTCCAATATTTAATCAGACGTCTGTAGTTCCTGCAATTCCACTAAAACTAAATGTTTGATGACGTTTAGATTCGCCGAATATGCTTTATCACTTAAAGCCCTTCGCGTTAGTGACGTCATCAATTCTTAGTTTTAGTGGAATTTCAGGAACCACAGACATCTTTATTCTGCCCTGTTTAATCACTGTGCTTGGAATGGTTCCTTTATGGTTAGACCATTGGTGGTTAGTTTTGATGGGAATGAAGGTTTTTTTTGATCAAAAGATAAAGACATTTATACCAATACAAGTGATTCATAATAGGCAAAAATTTCTTCAACAAAGTATAGACACCCCTACCCTAATGCACATATTTTATGTTCCTTTTGCCTAAGGAACCTGAACATACACATGCTAGAAAACCTGCTTTAAATCCCTTTAAAATGTCGGTTAGCGTGATACGAGTCTTTAAACTCTTATAACAGACCACTTAATATCCTGAATATTCTATCAAGTTATTGTAGAGGAAAAATAAATCTGACTTGGCGTCAATTATTCATGAAAATTGTGATTCGTGAACGGAGATTAATTCCATCTGTCAATAACATTTACCTCTTTACGTTCAATAGTCAATTCGTCTCATACTTGGTGCCTACATCCGGTCCGAAAATTGAAAACGCGATTTAACATCTGTCTCAATATTCATAGCAGAATTGGGTTCGATAATTGTGCCGTGACTAACTATCAGTGAATATTATTTCATATTGCCAATACCATCGCCGAATCAGGTCGCGATATTTGTGCCGTGACGAAAACAGAAATTATCATACTTGGTGGTAAGCAACTGTTTTTATTCTTCTATAAAATGACAACGTCTTTTCAAGTTTTTTCGTTAATCAAATTTTTGTTTTAACATTGGGAATAACAGCCTCAAAATAGTATTGACTTGATAAAAACCATGAGCGCATTATGTCTTCGAAATTTGTTTTTACAGAGGACAATTTTCAGTCAAAATTTTTGACTTTTTTGATTGAAAGTTCTGAGAGGACAGTGTGTTTTTGTTAATGTTAACTTTTGAAAAACATGTATATTTTATACATCATAAGTCATTTTAAAGGACAGATGCGTAATTTTGGAGGGTTGTCTTGAATACATGTAAATAGTCTTCAGAAATGCACGAATATAGCATAATTCCAGTAAAAAAAACGTTAAATTCGGAATTTTACTCACTATTTCTATATATGTCGTTTCTTTATATGCTTTCACGACGAGTCGTCATTTTAACATTTAAACGCGGATAATTCTGGACACACATGAATTTGAAGGTTAATTTTGTGAACAATATTACTGATTGGCGCAACTACAACAATTCTCATTTCTGAGACAAAAGTATGGTTGGTCAAAAACTGGCACATCTGTCCCTTTAAGAATATCCGCCCTGTTTTATTATTATATTGAGCTGAGATATTTGAGCATTTGGATATTTCATTTAAAGATGGGTTCCCTTTTTTGTATTTATGAAAATGAAAATTCTGATATTCATATGAATAGAAAGTAGAGGTGTTCTAATGACTTGGAAAATACCAGTATGTCTCACATGTCTGATTAGCTGCTGTGAAGGGCAAGTCCACCTTTATCCAATTTTTCACATTCAATATTGTAGTTTCCAATTTCCGTATTCCAGGATTGAGACCTGCGACATTTTGGAAACACCATGGAAAACCAGTCTTCATCCGAGAGAAGTTCCAGATTTATTCAAACATTATGGCTAACTTATGCTTTTTCCTTGATTGTAAGTAAAATATCTTTGGTGATTTATACATGTATTAATGTCGTTTACATGCCTCGTATTACCAATACGTGTTTTTTTTTGTAGTGTTCGGCCAATATGTTTATATTTCATTAGAGAGGAATTAAACGTCTAATTCTTCTTCTGAAACATGATATAACTGCTTGTCATGATTACCAATAGACCGATGAGTCTCGAGTCTGCTGGTGGATTGACCCCGAGGTTATTCTTCAACCGTCAACCCACCCCGACACGTATATAGTAAATATTTATTATGTATAATCATTACAGGGATTTAATAATGGTATATTGGGACCGGCGTTACTGGACCTACAGTTCCTGGTAAAGGTCAATCTAGATACTATCAGTAATCTGTTTATTGTGTCAGGGGTCGGCTTTATTATTGGTACTATAACAGCGATGGTACTGAAAAAATACGTGGATACAGAATTATTTCTAGGTCTCTCTGTGTTATTTGGCAGTGTTATTAATATTATATTACCAGTTGTACCTGTCTATGCATATGTCGTCATCATGACACTGCTTCAAGGGATATTTAAAGGTCTTATTGATTTTTGTAAGTTGATTTCAAATGAGTCTTTCTTCAGATTTCCTTGCGTATTCTGACAAGACCATTGGCATGGTTGAGCTTAAAAAAGTCCATTAAAGGCCGCTGTATCCAAATTTGACAATGACAATATCGTGTATATAAATCAATACACTGGAAGTTGGAAATCGAGTAAGGCTAATATCGTTATCTTTGGAAAATGCCAACTTAAATGGAATTAAATGGACAGATGTGCCATTTTTGGACCAATCGTAACTTGGTCTCAGAAACGACGAGACGAGTCGTCTTTTCTTGAGGCACTGCCATTTATAGAAAAAGACACTTATAGAACTTTGAAAAGAAATTCCTAATTTAAGATATTTTTGAAGGAATTATCTGATTTTCCTATATTTCTAGTACGTCTGAAGACTTTTTTCATATATTCAAGACTATAACCACCCCCCCCCCTCCCCCCCCCACCCCCCAAAAAAGGGCGAAACTGCCCATTCAATTAATTTCGCTTTTCTGTCTTGCAGGTGTTTTGATAATGTGTAATGTTATTTGGAAGGATAATAAGAGTTTCGCATTTCAATTTGTTTGTATAGGAGCTGGAATATCATCCTTTATAGTACCATTTATAGCTAAACCCTTTCTATCAGAGACACATTTTAAACACAGTACTGACAGTGATATGTATACCGAATGTAAGAATACAACCAACCCTCCACTGAGTGCCGACTGCTACACCTTCAAAAATACCAACGTACAGTGGGCGTATGTTATTGTTGGCTTAATAACGATCCCACCCGCTATAAGTTTTTTATATTATTACCAAAGATCTAGAAAACAAACTAATGTACCATACGAA